CTAATCTAATTATGTGATTAATATTGCACATAAATAAGATTGTATACTACAATCAAATGGGATATGAGAATATTTCAATGCATGGAAATCAAACAATATACCAACATAGATGATAGATAGATAGATAGATAGATAGATAGATAGATAGATAGAGATAGATAGATTCATATATATGTATATATGGACTTATTAATAGACATGATAACAATTAACATTTTTCATGCTTTACAAAACCCTCTCAGCATGTTAAGCACAGAAGGAATATGATAAAGGCCATTTGAGAAAAGCCACATTTCCTTTATTATCAAGAACAAAAATATCCCATTCTCCTCCAGGGAAAGGGGAGGTTTCATTGGTGGGGGCACCCCAGGAGGAGGAATGGGATGAGGAACTATGGGAGGAAGGATTGAGAGGAGGGGCAATGACTCACATGTAAATAAATAAAATAATTTAAAATTGCCATTCTTACCACTGAACTCAAGCTAATTCTACAAGCCCTCACCATAACAGGTAGGTGTGGGAGATCCAAATAGGAAAGGATATTTGTACTGACAATATCACATGCACACACACACACACATAAAACCCTAAGAACTATGCTTAACCATACACACAAATACACTTCAATTCCTAAAATTAATAAATGACTTTTTAAAGGTCCAATGTATAAAATCAATGCACAAAGAATATCCACATTTATCTATGCATAATGATACAAAAAAGAAATTAAAAAATAATATAATTCATATGCAATCAAAACAAAATCAATACATAAAGACCATGGACATTTTTCTACACATCATGGTACAAAAGTAAATTTAAAAAATAATCTCATTCATAAGAGAAAAAGAAGAAATGAAGACAGGAATAAATGTAAGCAGAGGTGAGAGACATATAAAAAACAAACAAACAAACAAACAAAAATCTATGAACAACCTACTTCTCTTGAAATATTATTTCACCAACCTTGCTTGGGTGCCAGAAATTACTTTCCTTGACTATGACAGAAGATCCCAAATCAATCAGAGTGACATTTCATTTAAGCTGCCTCACTCTGTACTAATTCATGGATCAGACTGTCTGGACCAACTTAGTCATCTGATTATAATCTTCTTACATGTATTCCCCCACTATTGGGTAAAAATTTCACTTTGCCCAATGTGACCTATTTCCCCCTCATTCCTCAGCTCTAGTTATCAATATTACCTCCTGTGAATCTTGGTTCCATCAAGAGGCCTCATTAAAGAAGATTGGACCAGGACTGTAGCAAGCCCATCAACCAGCAGCAAACAGTTCCTTCCAGTCTTGTCTCTGTACTTTCTGGTGAGCTGATGTCATTTATTTTATTCTCATTCTTTTTATGTTAACAGGTACAGCTTAAATGATAATAGTCTATACATCATCTCTTGCTAATAGTAAAAGAACTTCACAATTTTTTTTGGTTGGGATCTGAAATGTTTTCTTATGACTAATTAAAATATGAAAGATATTAGAAAACAAACATAAGCACACCTTTCACTCAGTCATTGGCATTGATGTTCAGAATCAGTACTGTCAAACTGTAACTACTTCCTAAGACTTCCAGGAGTACACGGTAACAGCACAAACCTTCATTTTTTTAGGAAATAATTTGATAGCAAAAACTCATGTTTCTACCACCTTCATCCTTTACTTAAAATATATCAAGAAAACACACACATATTTGCTGGTAATTAGACAATTAGTTAAAATCACTTAGGTGATCTTTAATTGACTCTTGTCTGAAGATAAACTTAAGTAGGCAGAAGTCATGGGAAAACCCGTAAGGGCATTTTGTGTGTGTGTGTGTGTGTGTGTGTGTGTGTGTGTGTGTGTGAGCATGCGCACATATACAGGCAAACTTGAGACCCCTAAAAATCTCATTTGGATGCGTGCAGCATTATACTGTAAAAGAAATGGATAGGAACTAAAAGAGGATGTGTAGCAGTTTATAAAACGTGTGTCAAAATCACCTTTACCCTGACAGTTGAGATGAATTAAATCCTCCTCACATCTTATACCTGTCTCCCTGCTTCAATCTCTACATTGATTTTTTTACCAAATAGCCTCAGGACTTGAGATAATAAAATCACACCAGAGAAAACACAAATCATCCTCCTTGCTTGCTGTCTAGTATCTTTAGATTTTATCTTTACTTACAACAACTGAAAAAAAAAAGAATTAAATCAAAACATACAAGCAAGAGTTGTCATCTCCCATCAATTATAATATTTGCTAATGGATATAAAATCTAGTTGTTATTATTTTAATCTATCAGTTAGATGTCAAAAAACTATTTTGCAACTGTTCAAAGCTTCTGGACACTAACAATACCTGCTATTACACTGTCAGTTCCACCTGATGGCAGATTTTGACATTGTTTATAATTTATGTACATAGAGATTGTTTTGAAAAAAGTCATGTTTGGCATATGAAGGACATTTTCAGTAATTTATAAAAGTTAAACAACAATATCTCCTAAAACCCATTCCCTTTGCTTGCTCTATGACCTGAGAGATTTATTTTCATGTTCTCAGCATTGACTATATAAGACCTGAGTTCATATATGATTGATAATGGCTCTATAACATATTTCTATTTAGAATATATTCTGAAATGTAAATAAAATATCCAATAAAAAGTTATATATATAAAAAAATACTTTCTTGGCAAAAAGGTTAACATCTGCTTGCTTTTTACTCTCTTTTTTCTGTCCAGATCCAAAATAACTTCTGCAATCCATGAATTTTTTAGTTAAGAAGTATTTCCTGACTGTGCATACAAGAATGGTCAAAATGTAAGACAAAGCATTCTGTTAATTTTCCTTATGACCCCAAAATATTCTATCAGGAAACCATTCTTCAATTCTAAATTGTAAAGCCAATTTGTATCTTTTCTTCAGCTCCTGTTGTCATTGAGACAAACAAAGGAGTTGATATGATCACGATCATGGATAACACATGAAAGCCTGCTATCCTGCAGTAACTAATGTCCTCTTTACACAGGGACAGGAGCTGCTGTTACACAGAATCTTCCCCTATTTACTCCAGTGCAGAAGGAAAGACCATTCTGAAATAGGAGCAGAAACTGTAAGGGGCAGCTGCAGGCTGAAAGAATTGCCTTTAAATGTTTAAGCACTGCCAAGGTAAGTTCTGCCAAGGTAAGTGAACATACTGAAACTAAGGAAGAGGGCAAAAAGTAAGGAGGGAGAGAGGGAGGGAGGGAGGGAGAGAGAGAGGGGAGAGAGAGAGAGAGAGAGAGAGAGAGAGAGAGAGAGAGAGAGAGAGAATAAAAAGGCTAGTGGGTAAGAAGTCAAGGAAGGTTTGAGGAAGGAAGGGAGGGAGAGACAGGGACAGATTGATGAATGGAAAAAAGAGGGAAAATAAAAGAGAAAGCAGGTGAGAAGGAAAGAAAGGTTGAAGTGACGAAGGGAAGGAGAGAGAAGAATGAAGGAGAGAGAGAAGAAAGGAGAGAGGAAAGAAAGGACAGAGAGGAAGAAAAGAAAGGGGAAAGGAGAAAGTGGAGAATACAGGTAAGAGAAACAATAAATTGAAGTAAAATTTCTATCACTGGTAAAAAATAATGCTTTGCTCCTGGTCAGTAAGAGAGTTCCCCAGAGGCAGAACTAGGAAAATCTAGAATTGCCTCCACCCTTGCTGGTAGGGAAGCTATACACACCTTACTCTTCACCTTTGTGTTTTCACTTCTATAGACAGAAATATCTGTTATTGCTCTCATCCACAGGTAGATGAAGCTCTTGATTACCCTGATGTTTACTCAGTTTAAGCTACATTATGACAAAGGAGACAAATTATGGATACAAAAGGAATGCAGCCTCATTGAAGAGCATTGCTGTAGACCATGGAGGTCAGCTTTGTAAACCTCAAGGTCAGCTGTCTTCTATTCCTGGTGGATACAAGGCTACCATCTGTCAAACTGATAATGACACACTGTCAAATACAGATGGAAGATCTGTCCTCTCAAGACTTAGAAACCATTGTTGTACTCTTCTATTAGTGCTGGGGACACACAGGCAATGTAATATCCAGGCATCTCCTTCAAATCCGTAGATAATTTGGAATGAGGAATTAGATAAGGAAGACAATAGGCTGGTAATATCCTCTGTGTGCATATATACACATGTGTATGCAAGTGTAAACATGTATTCACATGTGTGTGTGTGTGTGTGTGTGTGTGTGTGTATGTATATGTGCATTTTCATTCATAAATGTTTCAGGTAAAAAAACAAATAGTGAAATATTTGGCTTGAAAAATGTCCTCAGTGGATAAAGCACTTGCCACACAAGTATGATGATTGCCATCACCCGCTAAAACGCAGAGTAGAACAAGATTACCCCAACAGGGGTTGAAGCAGAGACAGATAGATCCTGGGACAGACCACAGCTATAGACTAGTCAAAACTGTGAGATTTGGGTTCAGCTACAGACCTTGTCTCAAACAAAAGACAAGAGCTATTGCTCTATTGTTGAGAGCAATAGCGGAAGTTTCTAGATTTCAATTATTTACCTATTCATGTGTATACATGTGGCACACACACACTCACATTAAATAAAAATAAAATAAATGAAATATTTTCATTACTAAATCTATGGTGGTTGATTTACTAACTGAATAAAGAAATATTAAGTCCTAAAATTTAGTAATGTTCACCATACCTAATTCCACCTATAAAAATATTTATAAAATACATATGCACATATGACTACTCGGTAAAATATTTTTGGAGAATGTATAAGGATGAATCATACTAAAAATCTTCTTAAAAAGACATATAGAAACCTACTACTCTAGAAGCTTCATATATAAACATTAAACATATTGATACACAACTGAATCCCCTTAAAATAACCTGTGTGTTGCAAATAAAAAGAATGGAGACCAACCCAGTTGTTGGGTTTTTTTCTTTGATTCTGTTTGTTTGTTTCTCTCTTTTGATACTGGAAACATCTCTTGTCACTCACCATCAGTTATGATCAGCCTTATAACAAAGGTTTTGTTGTTTTCTGTACTGGCCTCAGAGCGGCATCTGTAAAGTCCTGAGTCAGCAGCCATGGCATAGGGGATGATGAGGACACTCTCCATGCTCTCCTGGCTACAGTTGCTCCACGTTTGTCTTGGGTACTTTGAAGTGTATCTTGTCCCTTGAGATAGGTTACAGGAAGCTAAGATGTCTACCTGATGGGGCTGGACTTTTTCCCATATGACTTGTTTCACTAGCCAAATCCTTTGAAGCTGGCAGTTGAGTGTGACATTTTGTCCAGGTTCTGCAGACAGGTAGCTGTCCAAGGGTGCTGCTATCTCAAAACTATCTGGAAAAAAAAAGGAGCACATGCTTAGGCAGGTGGTCAGATTTTCACACACAGAGGAAAGCTACTAAGAAAGCCACCCTGAAGTGATTAGTGATGTTACCTACTGCAGTTGCTCCAAGAGTAAGTGGTATCTTCATTTTTACATGTTTGTAAAATTTCATTAGAGGCTTTTAGTCAGAAAACGATATAATGTTTAACACATATCTTTTGAGTGTTACTTTGTTAACCAGAAAACAAGAAACATAACCAAAACCCTTGGTACTTTATTAGCAGTGATTACATCAGGGTCTAAATTTAGAAGACTGAACCAGAAACTCAATTTCCAGATTATAAGACAATAGACTAAAGTTTAGGTGGCTATCAGAAGATACTACATAGTGTTTCATTTAACTGTATTGAGTTGTACAGGAATATCTGGTACATAGGTGGAAACTCACATATAGTATAAATTTCTGGTGCCAAAAAATATTTTCCCAAGTTTCTACTTTCAAAGCAATAGGAAAATATAAAAGATCTTCTCTCCTTATGATATTTCACAAGTGTAGAGCATATTCTGTCAGAGGTTCTGATGGCTTGTGCAGTGAGTGTTCAGAGATTTCTTGTGTTTATATTTGTACTCAGTGTTAAGCTCTAGTGCTATGAACATGATAAATTAGATATAACACATGTGAACAAATGTCCTTTAGGGGTCTTCCATCATTTTTGGTTCTGAGACCAGAAAGCTTGTGAACTTAATGTAGTACTAAAATTCATAGTGTTATTTCTCAGATCAGGAAAATCCAGAGCCATAAAAGGTAAACTAATTACCAGCCTCATTCACCCAAAGTCTTTATTCCCACAAATCAAGAATGCTGATTTGTTATTCAAGAGGAGAAGGCTGAGTATCGATGATGTCACAAAGTTTTTGGGCAGATGAAATAAAAAAAAAAAACAGAAGAAGAGCTTCTTATTTGTATCACATATACTCAAAGGTTTTGAGAATCCAGTGCTTGGGTTTATAAAACAATAATCAAGAAAAAAAGAAAATATAGGAGGGAAGAGGGATGGGGAGGAAGAACGAGAGGGAGAGCAGTGGAAAATAAGAAAACGCCACATTTGAAAAAAGTACAAGTCTAAAGTGCAATAATATTTTATATTCATATTGGATTAGGACCTTATATCCCCTCCACTAAAAACTAGCTGCAACAGTGGTTACTGACATGAAAATCTTGCATACAGAAAAGCCACAGCTCTCTAGTGTTTCAATGTGTGACCATGAGAGTGTTCAGCAGAAGTAACACTTTGCCCACATAAGAGGCATACAGAAAATGTTTCATCTCTAAGTTATAAACCAACACAATAGAAAAGGGGAGGGGGGAGGAAAGGAAGGAAACGCATAAGAAGAAAATAATAAGAAATCTATAAAGGACAGAAGGGAGAAATTAACATTAAGATGGGAGAAAGCTACTAGAGAAGAAACTATGGGAAACAGAAGGAAAATGCTAAATAAGATACTAACAGTCTGTAATAAAACACCTTCTGTTCATATCCAAGCAGTGCTTCCTTTTAGGAGTAGAAAGATAAAAGTCCTGGCTCCAGGTTTGGTGTTTGTCTTCAGGACTCACATTCACTACTGCTTTTCTTCACTCATTCTGAATAGTTCTCTACTCCCGTCTGAGAAGCTGTCTTCAGGTTGTTCACACCCTGACCTCCTCTTAGGAACAGCTCCAAGCACAGACTTATCAATTCAGGCACAAAGTTCTGAGTTCTGCTTAGGGAAATTACCTGAATTATATGAAGAACAAATTCTTGAAGCACTGGGGAAAATCTCTACCCATAAACATCCAGACCTAAATGATGGAAGGAGTTTTAGGGTCAGACATTCCCTTCTTCCCCAACCTGATCCTGGTCAAGTTTCATGCTGAAGGGAATTGTCTGTTTGGTCTGAGATGAAAACTAAGCCCCACTTGATCACGTCATCCAAGTGGAAGGCTGTCCAACGTGACACTAAAAATTTCAACCAAAAAGTCCTGACATAAAGAAAAGGGCTCACCATCCTGACACACTAAAAGTCAAATGTGAGTTGATTTAAATCAGACACAAAATTGTCATAGTTTATGGGGGAGAGAGAATCTGATTTTAATTGAATCCCAAAATAAAAGAAAAACAATAAGAGTGGAATCTGATTCCATACTGATAATCCTTCCATATACTAGTTTATAAAGTGAACACAAAATACTGTTGTCTGTGTAACTTTTATTGATATCTTTGACTTTACAAGTGACTTTTCTATCATGGTTATAAATCATAAATTTAATTTAATCATTAATTTGTGCTTTATTTTTTTCCAAGTATTGCTCCACCTCTAGAGAACCAATTATTGGTGGAGACACTTATACTTCATGTTCACCTCACATCCCCAGCCACTAACTGTCACCATCAGTATTCCTACAGGCCTATAACTCAGTCTCCAGTTGGGCATGTCTTCAACATCACCCAATGATATTATGACAGTTTCTTCCAAAATGGTACATTCCCTCCAGGAGGAGGCCCAGGAGGCCTGAGGTTATAAAATCAGTGAACAACTACAGCAGCAGAGAACTATGGGTTTAGTGTTTTCATGAGCTGCCAAGATATTTGGTTACTGGGGTGCTTTTTGGGTGATGAAGCTTCCTTTGAGTCATTCCTGCTCCTCTAAATGATCCCTCATCATATTAGTTACCTTAATAAAAATCTCACTGGTTCACCACGTTTAACTTAGGTCCAAAATGAGAGTTCTATCTGGGGTGGGTAGATATGTATGTGTGTCATATCTCCCAGGAATGGACTGTTATATAACCCATCAACATCACAGAGCCCTGAATCTCTTCACATCTACTTCTCCAGCCAAGTGTTTGTGCAGGCCAACTTGTCTTATACTACTTTGCCTTGAGCCCCAAGATCCAATCTTGCCAGAAATGAAAGAGGACAATCAATATTATTTTTAATAGAAAATCAATTTGCATTGCACGATTTAGTCAGAATAATATGCCTTTGTGTTGTTTCAGGTAGTATTGATTTCTGCAGTAATTCTCATATTAAGAAACATATTTAAAATAGCATTCTATCCCAAAATAGTGTTTTAAACAAAGATAAGATACATTCAAAAATTCATGAAAAGACATTCATGTTTCTAAGATATAATAGTCCTGTCAAAACAACCAGGCTTTACTCTAAACAAGAATTTTACAAAGCTATAAAGAACTGAGAAATGTGTTATATGATACTTTGGGAAGTTAGTGCATTGGATTACATAAAACTCAAATTTATGGCAACAATAAAACAATAATGAATGAATGAATTAACTAATTAAGAAGATGAGCTTACAAATTCAAAAAGACAAAGTATCTCTAACATGGAGTAAAAAGCAGAATATTGATAAAACTGGAGACATGTAAAATAGATAAAACTTACTGAGAATGAGTATTGATATATATACATATACATTTACATTTACATATACATATGTATGATATATATATATATATATATATATATATATATATATATATATATCAGTAATATTGGGGCTAAGCTTGATAGTTGGGCAAGCTTTAAAAAGACACACAGAAATTTATCTCACTGTTGTTTCTGAAATAACTAAATGCCATGCTTTTTCTGACTCCATTTTGTGTTTGCTTAGACAGTTGTCAGTGTTACACCCCTTGTCCCATAGCAGTCACATCTGCCTGGGCAACACATTTGAGACATTCATGGTTTTTACCAAGGTCCAGATGAATTAACTCAAATAATTAAAGTAAACTAAAATAACTAGAAAAATATAAGTTAAAAAATTGGCATACTACATCTAAAATAATAAATTTGCTCTCCAGAAATGAGCATTTCATAGTTACTCTGAACCTCATCTAACTTGGTGTAAAGTATGGTCTTTGTAGTTTTTATCTTTAAAAACTTTGTAGCCCTGTCCTTGGATGCTAAAAGATTTTTCAGAGGACATGCCCACTCGTGGTCTGGTCATTAATAAAAAGGATTTAAAACTTCCAATTGGTTTAATCAGTGTAGTTGTCAATAACTATCTCACATGGATCATTTTGTTTCTAATGAAATTTTCTTAAAGGTCAAAAACTATTTGTTTTAGAACAGATTATTTGTTTGGGAAGCCAGACAACTAAGCTAAAGGGGAACTTTGTTTGTAACATCCTGTACACACTCGGGCTCCCATCAGGTAATAACACAATGATGTTGTTACACAAACGGGCCGTTTTAACTTCCCAAAACACTGAGCTTGCAGCTGACAAAATACAAATCAAACAAATTTCATTTTGTTCTTGGGCCCATGTACTTTTCATGCCTGAATATTTCCACTTCTACCACTCTCCTTATTTTCCGACCTGTTTCTAACCAGACCCCTTCCACTCATCTCTGAGTGGAACCTTCTGCCTCCTGAGAGCCAGCTCGGACCCTGTAAAATACTATCCCAATGGCCTAATTAATATTTATTCTTCCCCATTCATTCAAATTTCTGGAACGTCTCTGTGTTCTCATGTTTCATGAATACTTCGTGCTAACTAGCCTCCATTTCCACCATTCTACCAATACTTCAAATGTCGCCTGTGCCCTTGACCCTAAATGTTAGAGGTCTAGCCTTCTGTGAAGTTTCACTCTACCTACCTGGCATCTATGTCTTATTCTTTCCCCTCTCTTCTCTCTGACCCTCCTCCAGACTCCTTCAGAATTTGCTTCTCTTTCTCAACTGTTCCTCTCTGACTGTCACTCTGCATTAGCCATCTTCAGGTGTTTCTGTCCACCCTCACTTCTCCACCACCTCTTGTGCACATGAGGTAAACATCAACAGCCCCCACTTGCCCAGATGAGTTTTCAAAGCACAAGACACTAACTTCTTCAGATGTTTAAAATAGACTAGCTGTTAAACAGCCCAGAATTTCCCCAAGCCATCTGTAGTAGCTATTATTATGCCAGCTAATTAGAAGTGTTAACACTAGTGTCTTTGTGTATTCCCA